TCAAAAAGGAAATTGCATGACCCCTCCATGTTTCAATTTTTTTCAATTTTCTATAGAATGTTCCCTCTTTATTTTGATATCGACTAAAAATTGCTGAAATGGCCCACTGCTCTCAAAGTTCAAATTTTTCTCTGGTTATGTACTGTACACTAGCTAAATTGGAAGGGCATCCATCTACAGTATGTAGTTTGGCGAGTCCCTGGTTAGGGTGGTAGGTAAATCTTGTACCCCGCTCCCGCTCCCGTCCCAAAACCTGTATCAGGCATATAGAGATATTTTAATATCTCATTAACGCGATCGTTTATAAAATTATACAATCATTTCAAACATTATTTTCTAAATGTGACAGTTACAAAAAGGTCTATTTATCATCTAATAATTTAGAAATTGACGATAATGTGTATTTCAAGGGGGTAAAACTTGTACGCCGCAGTCAACCGTGAAAATCATGTTTTTTCATATATAATTAGATATTGAGTGAAAATTAAAATGTTATTTTCAGATATATAGAACAAAATACCTTACTGTTTATAATTATGTAAGTTTCATTGCAAAAAACGACATATTTCTCATGAAATTCTGACTTTGTTGTGATCGCGGACGAGGATCGCGGGGAGTTTTGTTTACTCCGTACCCGTGCTAAGGGGACATCACTCCGTCAAGATTCGTGCTAAATATGTAAGAAAAAACTTTTAATACAACTATTTCATTATTTCTTTTTCATTTAATAATCTGCAAATTTTTTACATGTAATGAATAAGAGAATAATCCCTTATCACAACACATCAAACGCCACAAGCTTATTAAATGTAGAAGGTAAATGATTCACCATTATAATTCTTTAATCCATGGTTGATGCAGCTGCAAGCCTATGAGTGTTAAGCATGATTAATTATAATTAGGCCATATAAAAATGTTATTTTATCATACCTGGAGTATCAGATACTGAACTGCAACTCATGCAGCAATTACTATTCAATCAATTATTATTTTTACATGACGAGGAAATATAAGAATAGTGATGAGTTATCACAATATGACGCTATTTTCTAATTACTATATTAATTAGATGGTGAGATTGACAAATGAAATTCTTCGAATTTCCATGAGACGTGTATAGGGGATATGTTCCTTCTCTCATCATATTCAGGGGTTGACACTAACTTTTAATAGGTGGTGGACCTGCGGTCCACCTGCTCTCTTGATCTGGTGGACCTGGTTAATTTCTGGTGGACCTGAATAATATTCTCATATCTGAGGCGCTTTGCGCCCCGGTCGATGAGCGTAGCGAGAAGTGGGGGGTGGGTTCGGGAGGGGGTACCCCCCTCCTGAATAAGAGGGGGGTATGGGGGTCCTCCCCCGAATTTTTTTAAAAGCTAGATGCAAAATCCTGGCATCTGAGGGTTTTAAACAAATAATGAAGGTTTTTTAATTTTCTGTAAAATACTTGTTTTTTCTCCTTATTTTTTTTATTTTTTCCATTTATGATCAAGTTTTAGTAAATGACACAGAAACATGAAACAATTTTCTCCTTGTTTTTTTTTTTTTACATAGCTCCCATCCAAAGGTGTTTGAAATTCTGACTGTAAATTGAGATAAAGATCATATGAAAAAATAAGGATAAAATAATATACTTTTTTATAGTATTATACCTTTTTTATATGATCTTTATCTCAATATACAGTCAGAATGTCAAACAAATTTGCCCCAACAGTAGTCTTTACGTATTTTGTTGCAACTCTATTCAATCCTTCCTGGACATTTCGGAATCATCTTCTGAGTGCACGATACCCCACATTTCATTAAGTTTGTGTCAGTATCATTATTGAGCCATGTAAACGATTTTTCCATGACTCCTGAAAGGATATCATCCTTTTTGTTGCCCATACAAACTTCGTGTTGTTTTTGTTCTGTTGAAGTTTTTAACTTTTTTTTTGCCAGTGGTTGTAAACCAAGCCATTTAAAAATCGCGACACAGGCGATACGGTACTAGTCTAGTACAGATACTAAGTTAATCGACGGACACGATCACCTAAACGATATACGCTATAGAATACGATAGAAATCAAAACGTAACACGAAATTGTGAGGCTAAGTTTACCTTCATTTATCGGTTGACCACCGTGATCGTGACGTCATCGTCATTTTAGTGCTTATAATAGCGGCAAACTATACCACAAGCGACTCAAACGCTGAAAAGATTCCGACTTACCGCAAGCGGATTCACGCACTTCACTCGTCCAAGAATGATAATGACATTTTTTATCGGGTTAACAACACGAAAATACGATACATTTTTTAACCAGATGGGATTTTACGGCTCGCTGGCGAAGGAAATAAAGACTTTATTAGTATATTTCTGAACAATATTCTCAAATATATATACACTAATCAAGTAATATGTGGTGGACCGGCGGTCTACCAGCTTTGGAGATTAAGTGGACCGTCCAAGATTTTGGTGGACCCGGTCCTCCGGTCTACCGTTAGTGTCGACCCCTGATATTATTTGCATATTGCTTACATGATATTCAGTTTCCTACCATGTCTACACTTATAGTCGGTCACTCACAGGCCAAGTACTTCCATAAGTCAGTCAGCTAGGTTGTTAGCTCCACAATGAATGACAATGATGTCATACTTGTGAACAACCTCCTTGATCACGTCCCACATCGCCTCAATGCGATAGCCGCTCCTGGAGATTCACTTGGACGCAAGGTCCAAGTGATGATATTTTTGTCATCTCCAGGAGCGGCTATCGCATTGAGGCGATGTGGGACGTGATCAAGGAGGTTGTTCACAAGTATGACATCATTGTCATTCATTGTGGAGCTAACAACCTAGCTGACTGACTTATGGAAGTACTTGGCCTGTGAGTGACCGACTATAAGTGTAGACATGGTAGGAAACTGAATATCATGTAAGCAATATGCAAATAATATCAGGGGTCGACACTAACGGTAGACCGGAGGACCGGGTCCACCAAAATCTTGGACTGTCCACTTAATCTCCAAAGCTGGTAGACCGCCGGTCCACCACATATTACTTGATTAGTGTATATATATTTGAGAATATTGTTCAGAAATATACTAATAAAGTCTTTATTTCCTTCGCCAGCGAGCCGTAAAATCCCATCTGGTTAAAAAATGTATCGTATTTTCGTGTTGTTAACCCGATAAAAAATGTCGTTATCATTCTTGGACGAGTGAAGTGCGTGAATCCGCTTGCGGTAAGTCGGAATCTTTTCAGCGTTTGAGTCGCTTGTGGTATAGTTTGCCGCTATTATAAGCACTAAAATGACGATGACGTCACGATCACGGTGGTCAACCGATAAATGAAGGTAAACTTAGCCTCACAATTTCGTGTTACGTTTTGATTTCTATCGTATTCTATAGCGTATATCGTTTAGGTGATCGTGTCCGTCGATTAACTTAGTATCTGTACTAGACTAGTACCGTATCGCCTGTGTCGCGATTTTTAAATGGCTTGGTTTACAACCACTGGCAAAAAAAAAGTTAAAAACTTCAACAGAACAAAAACAACACGAAGTTTGTATGGGCAACAAAAAGGATGATATCCTTTCAGGAGTCATGGAAAAATCGTTTACATGGCTCAATAATGATACTGACACAAACTTAATGAAATGT